CGCTCCATCTCCGCAGTGGACGGTCTCTGAGATGCGTTTCATTCCTTGCCTGCTGCCACTATCTGTCCTCAACACGACTTTTGTGGTTCCAGAGGATTTGCTCTCAGTTTGCTTTCACAGCCCCCATTTTATACTCTACATCACTATGCAAATGTATTTGAGTGGCGACATCCTTTTAAATGGTTTGCTCCTCTCGTATTACGATATACATTTTTTATTTATAAAACACCGGATCTCATGCGCACACGCGCACAACTCGCGTAAGCTTTGCGAATCAATGCATCAATACACACATACAAGCTGTCCCTTTTATCGCCATCAACCTGAAGGTGTTATCGCAGGTTGTGCAGTTGAAGAGTGCTCCACTCCCCCACTCCCTGTCCCGTAGCACTGGCTGGTACTTCCTGTTGCAGCTCCTGCACTGGGACACCTGCACAGCAAATACAACGAATGATCCACACCCCGATCAGCAACGGTGGAAGCAACAGAAGTTGTTGTTGGCGGTGGCATTGCCGCTCGTTGGCAAGGTTCACGATTCATCCCCGTGGCCACCCTGGTTAATGCCGTGGGTGTATTACCAGAAAATATATGCCGTATGCTCCAAAGTGGATGTGACAAATCCCGTGACGCGATTAGGAAAAAGAGTAGGCCACGTGCACTAGGGTCATGGTTCAAATAAATACAAATATTTGCAGATTACTCAATTGATAAAACCCATAGAAACATTTCGGGCAACTGGCAAACTACTACCTACTTGCAGCCTGGGGCTGTGTTCACCTTGTGCCATATGGGGACAGCTGCCATCAGGGGCTCCCCTGGGCTAAAAATAAAGTTAAGTATTGGAATGATTGAGATGAGATGGAAGATGCGAGTTTCTGAGGCAAGCACCTTATAAATGGAACTGCAAATCCTACTCGAGCTAATTTATATGAGGCAAGGTTCCAACTCACTGCACACTCACTGTTTGCGTTCACCTAAGGCAGGAGTGGGTTACCTTTTATCTGCCAAGGGCCATTTGTATATTTATAACATCATTCGCAGGCCATACAAAATTATCAACTTAAAATTAGCCTGTTATATTTGATCAAACATTTAATTAACTCGCCCCCTAATGTGATGGCTGGAACTGCTTCTCTTTGGTGAGGCATATCCTTCTCTACATCAAAGGTCTGCCCGGCTAACCCACGATACCCCACCGCCATTGGTGCGCCCGCCTCGGTGCCTTCACAGACATCCGCTTCCCTCTCTACCCATCAACAGGGGCCGCCGTTGGGTCGTTGCCATTGGCCACGGCGTGCAAACATACTTTTCCGGCCAAACGGATGCTTCCCCTTGTGCTCGTGTGGACCTAACCGCGGTGACTGAGTAGCCTCGTCGTGACCATGCAATTGCACGTCAATTCATGGCTCCGCGGTGTAATTCAACCTGGGGGAAGTCGTCCAATTCCCTGGCCCCAGGAAACCGTGGGGGATGTCCCTACGAAGAGGGCCCCTGGGTGAAAACCTGGAGGCCAGGTGACTTCCCCACGAGGTCCTACGTGGGGGTGTGTGTCTTGTGTGTGCTCATTTGGGGGGTGGTGAGGGAGAAGCAGCGTCGGTCCGGACGCTCTCCCGTGGTGGCGTTGCAGGAACGGCTCCGACGGAGCAGCTTTGCTGTTGTGGCACCACATAGTCTCTCCAAAGGGCCACTGATATTCATTCTTATCCAAGTGCTCCTTACTTGTCTTACCCCAGAATGGACGATGGGTTGAGTCAACTTCCGACTAGCATATGATCTATCTGCCTGTTGTGGGATGGGTGCTCTGCTACCTGGCGAGATGACTTATCATATAAGATGAACTGATGCGATGTTATTTACAAAACACAGCCAATTCTGGCTGTAACCTGATAAGGATGGTTGTAATTACTGTCGAAACGTCGTACTCGACTTTTTAATGGTGTGGGTTTACTCTCCAACACACAACCGGTGTGCTGAACGAGTAAGGGAAAAAAGTAAGGGAAAAAAGTAAGGGAAAAAAGTATTTGATCCCCTGCTGATTTTGTACGTTTGCCCACTGACAAAGAAATGATCAGTCTATAATTTTAATGGTAGGTTTAATTGAACAGTGAGAGACAGAATAACAACAACAAAATCCAGAAAAACGCATGTCAAAAATGTTATAAATTGATTTGCATTTTAATGAGGGAAATAAGTATTTGACCCCTTCTCAATCAGAAAGATGTCAGGGACAAGATTGTAGACCTACACAAGGCTGGAATGGGCTACAAGACCATTGCCAAACAGCTTGGTGAGAAGGTGACAACAGTTGGTGCGATTATTCGCAAATGGAAGAAACACAAAAGAACCTCCCTCGGCCTGGGGCTCCATGCAAGATCTCACCTCGTGGAGTTGCAATGATCATGAGAACGGTGAGGAGTCAGCCCAGAACTACACGGGAGTATCTTGTCAATGATCTCAAGGCAGCTGGGACCATAGTCACCAAGAAAACAATTGGTAACACACTACACGCCGTGAAGGACTGAAATCCTGCAGCGCCCGCAAGGTCCCCATGCTCAAGAAAGCACATATACATGCCCGTCTGAAGTTTGCCAGTGAACATCTGAATGATTCAGAGGACAACTGGGTGAAAGTGTTGTGGTCAGATGAGACCAAAATGGAGCTCTTTGGCATCAACTCAACTCACCGTGTTTGGAGGAGGAGGAGGAATGCTGCCTATGACCCCAAGAACACCATCCCCACCGTCAAACATGGAGGTGGAAACATTATACTTTGGGGGTGTTTTTCTGCTAAGGGGACAGGACAACTTCACCGCATCAATGGGACGATGGACGGGGCCATGTACCGTCAAATCTTGGGTGAAAACCTCCTTTTCTCAGCCAGGGCATTGAAAATGGGTCGTGGATGGGTATTCCAGCATGACAATGACCCAAAACACACGGCCAAGGCAACAAAGGAGTGGCTCAAGAAGCACATTAAGGTCCTGGAGTGGCCTAGCCAGTCTCCAGACCTTAATCCCATAGAAAATCTGTGGAGGGAGTTGAAGGTTCCAGTTGCCAAACGTCAGCCTCGAAACCTTAATGACTTGGAGAAGATCTGCAAAGAGGAATGGGACAAAATCCCTCCTGAGATCTGTGCAAACCTGGTGGCCAACTACAAGAAACGTCTGACCTCTGTGATTGCCAACAAGGGTTTTGTCACCAATTACTCATGTTTTAAGTCATCTTTTGCAGAGGGACAAATACTTATTTCCCTCATTAAAATGCAAATCAATTTATAACATTTTTGACATGCGTTTTTCTGGATTGAAAATGGCCTTGCTGTCGCTGCCGTTTATTTAATTGGAAACTTTGGCATTAGTTCCAGCTTGGTATTTTTCTCCAGTTTGCACTGTGATTGTGTATTGCTTCACCCTAAGTGCTGTAATCTCCATATATATAAAAGGGAAATTTGTGATTGTGTGTTTGTTCAAAATGTTTAGTGTACTTCCCGACATGCAACAAACTTTAAATTTGCCATGTGGGTACTTTCCAGACTGTACACCATGCAAAAAGTATAAAACAGACTTTTGTATGTTGGGGGGGGGGGGGCTCAATAATGCATATATTTTTTGCACGGCAAGTGAGCTGTGATGTCACATCTGTCATGTGACCCGTGTGCGGAAGCGAAACGGAGTGTGCCTGCTAATCGCGGCTCAAGTGAAATACAAATGTGTTGCAGGTCTAAGGCGTTCTTCACGCAGCATTGCTTTATTATTTCAGTCGTTTACTGCCGAATGCACCCTGAAAGTTGTGTGTGTCTGCAGCAAGCGCGTGTATGTGTACCTATGTATGTGTACCTATGGTTAGCGCGCTGCGCTACGAACCCGGCGACCTGAGTTCGATTCCCGTTCATGGCCACCACCGGTGACGATTATTTGAACCGATCCTAGGCCTCCCCTAGGTCGACTCAGCCTCAAACGAGTTACTGGTGTAGGGAGACAAAGGCGGCCAGGCGTGGTGAATCCAAGTCCCGAGCGAAGCCGGGTAGTAAAGCTAGTGTATCATATAATAAAAGTGTATACTGTGTAGGAAGTGGTCAGGCATTGTGATGTATGCCCAAATCTGGTGGTATTATGTGAAATTTTATTATAGTATACTGCACAGCTGTATAGGCGCAGCCTGACAGAAATGTTAGGAGTTTGTGGAAGCCCCCGTGCCATTTGGCTTCTGAGAGGTACTCCCACCTCTTCCAACATGTCTGCCCCAGCATGGAAGTGGAGACCAAAATCTCAGTGACAGACCAGAGGACGCAAAAAGGCGAACAGCACAAAGACAATGCCACTATGAGGACAGTGAGAGCTCGGGGTGAGCAGCTACATCATGGGACCTCCCTTGCCAGTATCAAAATATAATAATAGGTTTGACCCTTTCTGGCAATAAAACAAATTCTTATATTTTGATTGTCTCTGTGCTGTTCGCCCTTTGGCTTCTTCTGGTCTAACACTGTTTGAGACTTGGCTTTAAAGAAAGCGATCTCTGGTGTGGATCAATCCGTTTCAAAGACAATGCATATACTATCAGAGCACGTGTTTGTTTGCATGCTCACCACAAGTATATGTGCTTGATGCAGACATGGATGCTTGCAAAATGTTTCAGTTTGGTGTTTTAACATCTTAACACCTTTTATTATATGAATTCCTGCAGTCACGAAAGCTTTAAATCAAAATCTTAACACCTGTTTTATTGCCAGAAAGGGTAAAAAATATTCTTATATTTTGATACTGGCAAGGGAGGTCCCATGATGTCTGGTGATTGTTGAGGGTGGGCAACATAGCAAGCGTGACACTAATGGTGGAATAACAACCAGTAAGTAGAGTGGAGAAAGGCCAGGGCTACCCTCTACTCCATGAAAAACAACCTAAATAGGCCATCATCCTTTACAAGAAAAACAAGTGATTTTCAACAGCCAAAGTAATGCAGTATTGTGTATCCTTTAAGTAATGGGTGAATACACAAGTCCGACATTTTTTAAATCTTTATTGTCGAGCACATGTCATCCACAAAGTTTAAGGCACTTCGGCAAAGTTAAGACCATACTTTTACAAACAGACATTCCCCGATTTACGCCCAGGATGCATCCCTAAAAACCAGAAATTTTATCGAAGTAAAGAGATGGGATGGTGGATCAGTCAGGGACGCGAACGCTTCGGCGCCACCTGGCACGTAAATGTCGCTAAACAGCGTAAACAATGTTGGGTCTAAATGGTAAAGTTCGTAAATCTCGAGTATGTTATCGCAACGTGCCACAGTACGTAAAACGGGATAGGGTATAAATAAGTTGAGTACGTTCTCGTTAACGTACATAAAACGGGAGAGCGTGCAGACTTAAAAACACTCGTAAAATAATAAAAATACATTTTTTGGATTTTTAAAAACCAGTAATATCATCTTCTTTCGTATGGCTGATGTAATGATCCCCGCTATGGGGTAAACACTTCGTTGAGAATAAGGGGTAAGTAAGGGCATCAAATGGCCCAGCTGGAAAGTGGCAGGAGTGGAAAAAGTTGACAACCCCTTATCTAAGTAGGGTTGTTATCCTTTGAGCAAGTACAGGCAAGTTATAACATCCCCTGGTCGCATTTCTTAAGGAACCGACAGATTAGTGGGATGCCATCACCAAAACCCCAGACAAGAACTTTGATCACTCTGCACACCCCTATCCTCGACCGGCTAGAGGCACCGAAACTTAATTATAGACTAGAAGCATACCGTCTTGTGGACAGTGAGGGATTTTGGATTATACGCAGCATTAGGTGTGGCACCTAGTCTCTTGCCTGCTGTTCCAGGCTCACCTTTATCGGTGTTACTATTATATTTTCGGTAAGCCAAGTCACTCCTGTGTATTGTGGGTCAAGTCTAGTGAGAACAGTCGTGCCCATTTACCTGAGGCGATTCAATAGGGTTGGTCTGTCTTAAATTTTTAGACAAGCCACCTTGCCAGTTGTCACGCAGTAGCGTATCTCTGGGACAACACGGTGCGCTCACAATGTTACAGGATGACCCCTTTATCCCGACACTCACACCTAAGCCTACACGTTCCCAAACACTCACACACCCTTAAGGCACTTTTAGCCTTAGATGACGTTCACCACCCACTTTGGGCTTTGTGTGGTGGGGTGGTCCATATTTATCGGAAGCTGGGCACACTCAATTGTGATTGACACCTTGTTTGCTGCACACTTTCATAATTTTCAATTACTCCCTTTCCCTATACAGGTGGACCACATCCTCCCCATTATATTTTCCCTTGTTACTTGTACCATGTGACACTAGAACACTCTGGAATAAGCTCCTGGGCCATCCTCCAACAGAAATTAATTCAAATCTGCCAGGCCGCTGTGTCAGGCCCAAGATCGCTACCAATAACGCTTATCCAATTCAAATGTATGCACGGCACCTATTTGACCAATGAAAGGGGAAATTCACAGAAGCTTCCCTAGACTGCCCTTTATTCCCTCCAGGCATGGCTCAGACAGACCTTAATGCCTTTTGGTCATGCCCAGATATACTGAAATTCTACTCCGACATTACGAATTATTTTAAATAACATCTGTGGCACTAACCTTAGCCCCTCAATCAAATCAACGCGATGGGGCCTCAAACCAAACGGTGCATCAAAACACACCAGCACGCATGACTAAAAATCGTTCATCTCACTGTAAGGAAGACTATCCTGGCAAATCGGACGAATCATGAACCTCCCTCCTGGAAAATGTGGCCAAACGCCTTCCTAGCCCTTACAGGAACAGAGCAACTTAGCCATAAGCTTAGGGGCAGGGAACGGGAACTTAAGGCTAAATGGTCCCCGTCCCTATTGAACCTGCCGTGAAGGTGTGCATGGCCGAGGAGACCGGTGGAGGGGACAGACTCTTGATGCACCACTCCATGGACATGACATAAGGTAGTTGGCTGCCCTACGAGATTTATATTGATGATGACACGTTAACTCGGTGTGTATGTTAGTTTACTCGGTTGATGTCTACTCCCTTTTTCATTGCTTGTGCTCTGTACCGGCCTCTTTTTTCAATGCAAAAATAAGTTCAAGTAAAAGTTAGCATTAATGAAAGGTAATACATTTTTTTTATTTGAGTAAGATTATATGAACTTTCGAAAAGAGATGGGATAATTCCAAAGTCGAGCAGTGCTATGGAAGAAGCAGAAAGAGACACGGACTGGAATGAATCAGTAAGTGCTGCATTTGTTTATGGTTCCAATTCTTGGTGATGACCCGCACTATGTAAGAAGCAGGTGTAGCCAAATCTTCCTGCATAAAAGTAAAAAATAATAGTTATTGAATTATATTGTGACCACAAATCCTGACAGTTAATTTAATTATTGACTAGTATTCAGTCACAAAAAACTATATTTTACAGCATTATATAATAGCTATTTCGAAATACAATACATTATGATTGTATAAAACCATGTTGAAAGTATGCTCTTGCTTGCAAGCGATATCAGGGTTCTTGTCTATGTTACTACACAATCCATGGTTTGGTAATAACCCACGCATTCCTGGAGGCTGGCAGCATTTAACAATTCACTTAAAATTTGTGGAGTGGTAAACTTGCCAACCACGAAGCTATTCTGCCACCGATTTTTCTTTTTATTACACATTCATTTAAAAACATGTATTTACATAAATAAGCATTTAATTGCAATCATTTATGGAGGATTTACTCACCTCAGTTTATAGGAGAATTAGAAACCCGATTCAACCGTTCACAGTGATAAGATGAACTGTAAAAAAAACAATCATTACTTTAAGAATAGTTTGCAATTCCAACTTTTTAATTTCCTCCCGAAAGAAAATACCCACAATGATGGAATTGATTAATTAATCCAATTAACTAAATCAAATACTTATACTCCAAAGTGTATGCTCCCCCAACCTGTATTGACCAGAATAGTGTAGTATAATCAAGTTTATCCATATTATTTCCTATGGTTTACAAACAGCAACAATGCAGAGAATCAGAAGTTACGTGATTTTGCCATTTAATTGCTTTGTTTGAGAAATGGCGAATTCATATTTGGGGGAGTGCGAAGTTAACACGGTAGGACCAACACCTCGGCCGTGGCAGATCATTGTTATATTTCAGTAGGCTCACATGACATTGACTTTTCCAAGACAGAGGTTCTTTGTAAGCCATCTGGCTACCATGAGCGATTCGTTCATGAGGCTATCCACATATACAAGCACAGAGACAATTTCAACTGAGAAGATGGATTCTGGCTTAGCAATCATTGGAAGGATTTGAGAAACCATTTCAGATCTTGATTGTTCACGCTTACGGTGGCTTTCAAACAGCATACATGAATTTTTAGTCTCCCCCCTCCTCTTTTCAGAACATAGATGGACTCGTCCTTTTAAACAAACTGCCAAATCGCTGCCCGTGGTGCTAACGTTTTATAAAAATAAATACAAACACCGTTTAAAAATAAATAAATGCAGACCGCCACTTCTTTCAAATGTTTCTTGCCATTGAGTTTCACACCTGGTGATGACCGTTTGTGTTATGGTCGAAACGTCGTGATAATTTTTTTGTTTTATATATTTTATTGTTTCCCTTCAACGTGACTTTACCGAAAGAGCTAAGAATATGAATTAGTTTAATGTTTGGTTCGATTTAGAACATCTTTCCAATGGTTGCTTAATTTGAAACCATCTTCTCGGTTGAAATTGTGTCTGTGTTTGTAAATCTGAATTGCCTCATGGATGAATCTCTGATGATAACCTGTCAGTTTGCAAAGGACAGTGGTATCGGAGAAAATTATATCGTGATCACCCACAGCGTTGTAACAGTGGTCAGCTACGGCAGAAGAATTCGTTCTGCCGTGTTTCAAATCTGATTTGTGCTCGCGAATTCGGTCAGAGACATGTCGCTTCGTCTCCCCGATATAGCAATCACCACAAGTGCAGCTCAATTTGTAAACCCCAGGGTACTGTAAGTCAGGAATGACATCCTTCACGGATGGGATCAGGTCACGGATTTTGTGTACTGTATTGAACCGGACCAGGATCTTGTGTTTGTTTAGGATTTTGGAGATCTTTTTAGTAACGCCTGCTATATATGGTAGTGTGATGGTTTTGACCGGAGTATCAAGTGGTTGTTTCTGTATGGAGGGAGAAACAGCTTGGCGGATGGTACGGTCAGAGTATCCGTTTCTCTTGAGGGCCAGATGTACATGTTTTAATTCTTCAAGCTCGTCATTCTCCGTGGTGTTAATCCCTCATACTAACATCATGCTAATCCCCCAGTTACATGCTTTTTTACTGTTGATATGTAAACTGCTGCTAATCCCTCACACAAACATCATGCTAGTCCCCCAGTTACATGCTCGTAGTTCTACGTGGTGCTAATCCCTCACACCAATATCATGCCAATCCCCCAGTTACATGCTAATTTATATGTTAACTCCTTTGTCAAGGCACTCTGTTCCTCCCACACAGATTAAAAGACGCGGCCCATGCTTGGCAGTGTTCACTCAAGCGCTGTCTTCTGGACAGTCCTGTTTCTTCACCTGATGAAGGCTACTTGTGTTGTGGCCGAAACGTCGTGATTTTTGTTGTTTTATTTTTACCTACGTGACTTTACCGAATAGAACCAAAGAGTATGTACCCCTGTTAATAAACCGGCGAAAGCCCTTACAAGAAGTTCCGTCTCCGCGTCGTGTAGTTTGAACTCATGCCAGGGTGTAGTTGGAACTCACATGCCAGGGTGTAATTTCGGAAGCTTCATCTACAAGAGCGCAAATGCATCCCCGCGGCACCTGTGTTCAGGGATGACTACGATATCCTCTCCACGTGCTCGCCACGTGCTCTGCTCCAGGCGCGGGCCGGTTTAGGCCAGCAGTGAGTGGTGCAGTAACTCTGGGCTGAGGGGGGGTGCAGGGTTAAGCTACTACAATAGTAATTACAGTACTTATGAATACATTCTTTAACCTATGAACTTCATACATTAACAGTACATCTAGTAACTCATTTACCTGGTGGTGTTGAACCAATGCTACTTGAAATTATACAATGGTGGGTGTTGACAAGAAACGTAAACAACTATTCAGAGTTTAGTCCGCTTATTTTATGACCTGCTCAGATCGTCTTTCGGGGACTCAATTTGGTGCTTTAAGCTCTGAACATCAAGGGCATCGAGAGAGCTTCTATGGAAGCCAGCAGCGTGCTGTGTTAGTGGTAATGTAAGCAGCATCACAGTCGTCTTTGTCTTCCGAGTCCACACAGCGAGCAGGGTACTCATTTAAGGCCGAGCTGACATAAGCGAGGTCCCCAGAAATGTATTCGAGTTGCCGCTGTTTCTCCCCTTCGGGCATCTTCATGTTGTGTCTCAATGAGACTCTACTTTATATGCAGATGAGCTAAAGTCGTCTGTTTGTAAGGGCCACATTGCCTTACTCGAGACTTTAGTTGTTACTTTTGCCATCACCTGCTCCTTTAATGGATGTAGAAAGTAAAATAACTTGTACTGTGTTGAACTTCTTTCTACGTAGCCAACGGTGCTAATCGGAGTGTGGGGAGCAACGACAACACTAAAACACATGCGCATGCAATAAAGTTTAACACGCAGGCTGTGCTATAAACTGTGTAACACGTAGGCTTTCGTGATGAATAGCCATAATACAGGTTTTTTTTGGGTTAGATTGCGTACATTTTTACCCAAAGAAAACTATGTGCTATAAACCTGTATTGTGCTATAAAAATTACCTTTATTTTCCTGTTCGGGAAATGACGATACAGTACATAAAACTATGAACACGCGGTACACCACCAGTGGCTGCGTTTACTACCGCGTGTGCAGGCGGTGCAACTGCATGGGCCCACACGAGCGGGGAGTTGCTGCAGTGCCACGCGGAGCAGAGGGGGACATTGGCAGGCTCCATTTTTTGTTCCTTGCACCAGGCCCAGAGACCCTCACACAGAGACCCAGAAGAGACCCTTACAGATAGCCAGCGACTGGAACACAGAGCCCCAAGAGACCGACAGACGCTGGACACGAGAGGCCGAGAGACTCACGCGGCAGCGACTCCGTGAGCAGGGACGGCGGCGCGAGACTGCGCGCTCTGGGTGACACCACGTGGTGCTGACACCGCGTGCCGAGTGCGCGTAGAGTCACGTGGGGGCGGGCGGCCATCTTACCTGGGGACAGTGCTGCACTGAACAGCGGGGGAGCGGTGGTGCAGCGGTTAGCGCGGTGCTGTGTGTAAACATCGCCACTAGGGAGACAAAGGCGGCTGGGCGTGGTGCTGGCTACCCACCCCCTCGTGTGCCGTGCCGGCCTGCATAGGTGCTCGCTAACAGTACTTGCCCCAACAGTCTGTTAAGGATATACGGGGATCTTTGTATGAGTCTGTGTGAGTGAATCTATGTGTGAGTGAGTCTGTGTGTGTGTGTGCGTGCACGTGTGGATCGCCACACAAATTTGGTGAAACTCCTTTCCCTGTGGGCGCTGAGGTCGCCATCTCCTGGCTTAGCCAGGGTACGGCAGCGCAGCAAGCGGAAATATTTCCATCTCTCGGGGATTGAATGTTTCCCCCTTGCACGCGTTGGTTCTCTCCTCTCACATGTATACTCGCTCTAGAATGGAACTGGGAAAACAAATGCCATGCAGTCGGGCCCATTGCCTGAAACATCGCCCATGATATATTTTCCTTTTAAGGCAGCCGTGTTATTAACGAATGTGTTCAGTGATTTTTGTTATTTGTGCACCACTGCCAACGCGGTATCGACAAATAATCCCAATGTAGGACCACAGAGCTTGGCAATATTGCTGGTAGCGCCGGTTTCTGGCTGGCTGCAACACCAATGCACAACATACAGCACTAACATACATGTATGTATGTTGAACTTCTATCGCACTGTACGTAGCCAACCGCGCTAATCGGAGGTGCTGTTGAAGGACAACAAACTAAGCACAAAAAGCAGTTCTAAATAAATGAGTTTGTAAATACATTTAAAAGTACAGTGCTCAAATGGCTTCCAAATATCTGAAGGAAGAATCGTTCCAGATGGCCGCAGAAGATCATCTGAAAGTGGCGGGCAATGGTCTCTGTGCGTCTATATGAAAATGGGTCTCTAGGAGTATGGGTCTCTGTAGTGCTCTAGGAGTATGGGTCACTGTGGGTCTCTATGGGTCTCTCTGAGAATGGGTTTCTGTGAGTCTGTATGCGTATGGGTCTCTGTGAGTCTGTATTGGTCTCTATGAGTATGGGTCTCTGTGGGTCTGTTTGGGTCTCTATGAGTAGTAGTCTCTGTGGGTCTGTATGGATCTCTATGAGTATGGGTCTCTATGCGTCTATATGAGTATGGGTCTCTGTGCGTCTATATGAGTATGGGTCTCTAGGAGTATGGGTCTCTGTGGCTCTCAATGAGTATGGGTCTTTGTGGGTCTCTCTGAGCATGGGTCTCTATGGGTCTGTACAGTTCGCTATGAGTATGAGCCTCTGAGTATGGGTCTCTGTGTCTGTATGGGTCTCTATGAGTATGGTTTTCTGTAGGTTTCTGTGTGTCTGTACGAGTACCGTATTTTCCCGCATATAACCCGCGGAGTATACCACTTTTTACACTATCCGCTATGCAACACTTACCTTTGACTAAAGCACTGCTGAATAAACCACTCGCACTAAAATTGCACATGTTATCACGTTTTAAATGATTCAAATTGTTTGTACAATGAAACGACAATGTTTGAAGTGGGCGCACTTTGTTTACCGTAATACTTTCAGTGGCTGTAGAGGGGTGCGAAAGTTTTAGCTGAGACTATGGATTGCACAATGGGAAGAGCCTTAACAAGCATCTACCAGACGCGGAATCATAATTGCCGAGTCCCTTAGGCCGCTGCTATTGGCTGAGCACTATACAGTCGCGACCATGAGCTTTGTTTCAAACTTCCAATGGCTTTGTTGCCAGGAGGCAATGGCGTTACCGTAGTGCCGCTATTGTCTGCGCAGTGCGCAATCTATCAGTAACTACTGGTCCATTAGCTGTAATATGATGAGGTCGAATGCTGGTAAGTCTAACAGTACGCTTACTTATCTACCAGTTATGTGTTACTTATTTATTG